GGGGGTGGTGGGACAGAGCCCCGTTTCCTCCCAGTCCCCCCCTGACCGGCCTGCACATCTGTCTTCCAGCTGCAGAACTTCCACCAATGAAAGAAACGCTGAAGATGCGAAAGCCTGAGAATTTGCACTGTCGAGTAACCGCACCGTTGGTCACACGCGGTCTCCTTCCTGCAAGGGTGTGGGGGGAGCGGTAAGGGGGAGGAGAGGAGGCACTTGATGGGGGGCCGCAGGGGGGGACCCCCTAGCTCACTGTGTTTTGGTGGTGGTTGGGGGAATCTTCCTGGCTTTCGTGTCCTCGCACAATCGATAAAGGGATCAGAGTCTACGGGTATGGCAAGGCACGGGACCCCGCCAGGTGAAGAGAGACAATCCCGGTGGCAAAGGCACTGCCACCCTGCCCTCTGGGCAACACACGTCTTAATTAACGAGTCCGTTGAGCCATCCCGCAGCAGGGCCTTGGTTTCTGGACTCCAGCGGAGGAGGAGGCGACGGATCCTCCTCCACATCCTCACAGTCGCTCTGGCATGCATCCCTGCTAATAATTTATACTTTTTGGAACGCTAGTGGTTTCCCCCTCCAAAGCTTTCTAGGAATCATAGTCCTGTGAGGGTGCCGATGATTCCCCGGCACCCCCGACAGAACTACAACTTCTCAGGCCCAGCACCTTAACCTGCACAAACCTTTTTTAGTCGGACACGCTTTGTGATGTAAACACGACCATAGCACCTTGCCTCTCCAAGCCCCCGGACGTGGAAGGGACCCTGCGGCACCCGAGGCGTGCTGAGCTTTTTAGCATTTAGGGTTTTGGCGCTTTCCGGACCCCGAAGACTTCCCTGCCCTTGCAGGGGCTCCCTCGGCCCCGTCCGGTCCGCAGCTCCCTTCCGAGCCCTCCCCCCTTCTCTCCTTGCACCCGACACTTTGCACGCCCCTCTGAGCGTTGCTCGAGAAGGTCTCGCCTTTCCCCAGCCAGGCCTCCAAGGGCTCCCCGCCTTAACCGCCTTGATGCCTCCCAGGGCCCCCACCAGGATGCGGTGCACAAGGCCTCGCTCGCCAGCTGCCCTCCTGCACACATTCCTCGGGCCCTGGAAAGGCGGGCCCAACCCACCCCCGTCTCTCTGCCTCACATGCCACAGAACCCACGCTGGTCACGGCGCTGCCTCTTTGCATCGGTCCATTTCGGAGCTGCCAGAGGAAAGGGGCCTGAGATTTCGAGATTCCCTCCTCTCCGAGAGAGGCCGACTCGACATTTGTCTTCCCCACCAGTGTCCCGGCCTTCTGACTCCGTCTTCCAAAAAAACACACACCCCGTCTACATTTGCTTTCGGCTTCACACTTCAACCGTGCTAGTATAATGTTGCCTGTCCGGATATGCTTATCGCCCTCTCGTGGCGGCTACATTGTCACTGCGCCTCCGCTTTAAGCGAATCTTCTCCAAACCGCTTTCAAACAAGCACGGAGAAGGGCAGCGTCACAGCAGCACGAAACGGGTTTAAGAATGCACATGCAGATTCGACCAGAGGGAGAAGCACACGCCGAGGGCCATTCCTCCTTTCTCCCCGGCTTCCTCAGGAGTCCCCGGCAGGGTGTCCCTCTAGCAGGACATTCGCATCCAGGTTGGTGGAGCAGCCGCTGGGCCTGGGAACACCCAACAGCTTGTGAAATACAATCGGCCGCGGTGTAGTTTGGAGCCATGTTTGGGCCAACATCTAAAAAACCCCTTGCCCCCGCCCGCATTCCTTCGGAAACCAAAATGGAACTCCTCCCGTCCCCTGGTGGTGAGAAAGGACGACGAGCGTATGTTCCCGGCAGCTTCCCCCCCCTTTCCTCGCTTCCCTGACCTCATTTACGCAAACCTTTTTTTGAGAGGGGTTTTTCCCCCCTGATCTTGAGACAAGTGCCTGCCTCGGAGGTCGCCCCTCACCTCGAGGTGTCCTGAAAGCCAAGGTCAGAAACAAAGAGCCTGCAGGTTTGACTGTGTTTTTATTTTGTGCTTCAGAGTGACATAGATTATAACGTTTTTAGGGGAGGGAAATGGAAGTGGGAAATGAATATGTATAAGACCCCCCCCCCTCTAGAACCTTGCACCAATAAACACCTTGTGGAAACCTCAGCCTTTCCGTCTGCGTTGTGTTCCCCGGGTCAGCTCGGCAGTACGAAGGCGTCCGGCCGAATCTTCCCAAGTAATTTCCTCGGATCCCCTTGGACGGAGACAGGTCTCTCTTCCCAGCCTCTGCAAAATGAAGCGCCGGCTTCCCCAACGTGGTGCCCATGGTGGTGGTGGTGGGGTTTCCCAGAAAAGCTTCCGATTGACTTTGTGGGTTTTTAAAAAATGTCGCTTTGGCAGCAGCTGACGGCACAGCACGGTGCGACTGAAGGCAAGCCGTGGCAGCCACTGTGTGGTTCTGCTCACTGCGCTGTATCAGACTTCCAGCCACCATGTGAGAGAGGTTACGGTGGGAGTGCGTGATCACTCAGGGTCACCCGGTGAGCTTCAATGGCAAAGGGGGGCTTTGAACCCGAGTTTCCCAGATACGAGGCTGACACACAAACTGCTACGCCACACGGGCTCTCAGAATCGTGTTTGTTATCACTCGCCTTATCCCCTGGAATCAGCATGCCAACAGGGGTAGAAAACTTCAGAGCACGTGCCTGCTCCCTATTTATTTTCTCCAGTGCTGTATGAGGGGAAGGGAATAGAAATGAGTTTGTAAGCCGCTCTGAGACTCCTCTGGGAAGTGAAGGGCAGGGTATGAATCCAATCTCCTCTTCTTCTTTTACCTCACAGGGTGTCTGTTGTGGGGAGGGGGAGGGAAGGGAGTTTGTAAGCCGCTCTGAGACTCCTTTGGGTAGTGAAGGGCGGGGTATGAATCCAATCTCTTCTTCTTCTTCTTTTACCTCACAGGGTGTCTGTTGTGGGGAGGGGGAGGGAAGGGAGTTTGTAAGCCGCTCTGAGACTCCTTTGGGTAGTGAAGGGCGGGGTATAAATCCAATGTCGTCGTCTTTTACCTCACAGAGTGTCTGTGGTGGGGAGGGGAAGGGAAAGGAGTTTCTCAGCCGCTCTGAGAGTCCTTTAGGTAGTGAAAGGCGGGGTATAAATCCAATCTCCTCTTCTTCTTTTACCTCACAGGGTGTCTGTGGTGGGGAGGGGAAGGGGAAGGAGTTTGTCAGCCGCTCTGAGACTCCTTTGGGTAGTGAAGGGCGGGGTATAAATCCAGTCTCCTCTTCTTAATGGACTTCCAGTTTGTTGTAGTGGTTAAGTGCACGGACTCTAATCTGGGAGAACCAGGTTTGATTCCCCACTCCACTTGCAGCCACTGGATGACCTCGGGCAAGCCATAGTTCTGTCAGAGCTGTTTCTGAAACAGCAGTTCCCGAAGGAGCTCTCTCAGCCCCACCTACTTCACAGGGTGTCTGTTGTGGGGAGGGAAGAGAAAGGACTTTGTAAGCTGCTCTGAGACTCCTTTGGGTAGTGAAGGGTGGGGTATAAATCAATTCTCTTCTTCTTAATGGATTCCAGTTTGGTGTAGTGGTGTAGTGGTTAAGTGGGAGAACCAGGTGTGATTCCCCACACCTCCACTTGCAGCTGCTGGATGACCTTGGGCAAGCCATAGTTCTGTCAGAGCAGTTCTTGAAAGAGCAGTTTCTGTCAAGAGCTCTCTCATCCCTACCTACTTCACCGGGAGTCTGTTGTCAGGAGGGGAAGGGAAAGGAGTTTGTAAACCGCTCTGAGACTCCTTCGGGTAGTGAACGGCGGGGTATAAATCCAATCTCTTCTCCTTATACTGAATCAGGCCCTTGGTCCTTCAAAGTCAGTACTGTCTACTCACACTGGCAGTGGCTCTCCAGAGTCTCAGGCAGTCTTTCTCACCACCTCCTGCCTGGTCCTTTGAACTGGAGATGCTGGGGATTGAACCTGGGACCGTCTGCAGGCCAAGCAGGGGCTCTGCCACTGAGCCAGGGTCTCAGGCGGAGGTCTTTCCCATCCCCTCCTGCCTGGTCCTTTCAACTGGAGATGCCGGGGATTGAACCTGGGACCTTCTGCATGCCAAGCAGAGGCTCTGCCACTGAGCCACAGTCCCTCCCAAATTCAACTGCATTGGCCAGTTGAAACCATTGGGTTTAGACAGTAGTTGCCCTGTTCAGCCCTGACCTGGATTGCCCAGGCTAACCCAAACTTGTCAAATCTCACGCAGCCTGCTCTTCCTCACAGGTGCGCTGCCAACTCCAGCCTGGCATATTCCTGGAGGTTTAGGGGCAGTGTCTGTAGAGGTGGATCTGGAAAGAATCATAGAACGTTAGAGTCGGAAGAGACCTTGCAGGTCATCTAGTCCAACCCCCTGCTCTCTGCAGGAGCATAGCCGAAAGAGAACCCTACAACATACCCAAAACATGGCCGTCCAGCCTCCACTTGAAAACGTCCAGCGAAGGAGCATCCACCACCTCCCGAGGCAGACTGTTCCATTGCTCAACCACTCTTACAGTTAGGAAGTGTCTCCTGATATTTAGCCTGTAATGACTCCCTTGTCATTTCCACCCATTAGATCTAGTCTTGCAGTCCGGAGCAAGAGAGAAATAGATCCACTCCATCTTCTACTTGACAGCCCTTCAGATTCTTGAAGACTGCAATCGTGTCCCCTCTAAGCCTTCTCTTTCCCAGGCTAAACAATACCCAACTCTTTCAGCCTTTCCTCCTAAGACTTGGATTCCAACCCTCTCGCCATCCTGCTTGCCCTCTTCTGGACACGCTCAAGCTTGTCAGCATCCTTCCTAACATGTGGTGCCCAAAACTGGACACAGGACTCCAGGCGAGGCCTGACCATAGCAGAATAGAGCGGAACGACCACCTCCCGCGATCTGGACACGAGGCTTCTGTGAATGATTCCAGCTAGAAGAATCTGTGCTATACCTGTACCGCAAAATTGTCATTTGCTCCAGGGGAATTGGTCCCTGCCGTCTGGAGATCAGCTGTAACTCTGGGAGGACACCAGGCCTCCCCTGGAGGCTGGCAACTCAACTTGCAGGTAGGGTTGCCAAATTCCAGGTGGGGCTTGGAGACCTCCCAGAATTGGAAGTCATCTCCACACAAGGATTGATCCCCCTGGGGGGGAAATGACCGCAAAGGCCCCTCCCCTCCCCAATCTCTAGCAACTAGGGCTGCCAACACCGACTCGGGAAACTCCTGGAGATTTGGGGGTGGAGCTTGTGGACCACAGGGTCGGGAGAGGGACCTTAGCAGGGGTCTGGGCTGCCATCCTCCAGTGGTCCAAAATAAGCAGATTCCGCTAGGAAAAACACCATCCCAAAAAAATTGCCAAAATATATAAACTTTATTTCACGAGTATCAAGTTGGTGGTGTCATGACCAGAAAATAAGTGCATTTTTGTTGTTCAATCGCACAGTCGAGTCTGACTCTTCGCGACCCCATGAACCAGCTCCCGTCAGGCCCTCCTGTCTTCCGCCGTCCTCTGAAGTTTGCTCAGTTTCATGTTCGTTGCATCGATGACACTGTCTATCCACTGTATACTATAATACTATAAACAAGGCACAGAATACAATGTTTCCTCCTTCGGAAGGTAAATATTAGTCCACGTAGTCAATTCAACATAGCAGGAGGAATCCCATGTTTCGAAAACATTTTCAAAGACAGCCTTCGCAAAGACGCCCGTTCCGGATACTCAAAGGAGGGACCTTTCTGTCGACTTCTTCAGTTGGCTGGCAGTGTAATTGTGTAGCTGGAACGGTGAAAAGAGTTTACCCAAAATCGACTTGTACAGAGAACACGTGTAAGAAAAGTCATTTCAATACCTTATCTGGAAAAGAAAAGAAAAAAAAATACACCCACCCCGATTGCAACAATTTTTCTGACAAGGAGGTTCCATAGTGTGAAGAGCGAATGGTAAGTTTCCAAGGGCACAGAAAGAGATGCCTGCCAATTTAAACGCCCCCTTGGCCCCTCCCCCCCACCTCAAGATGTATTAAGACCAGTGTTCCCTCTAAACTGAGTTGGTGTGAGCTAGCTCACATTTTTTTAGCCTCTGGCTCACACGTTTTTGTCTCAGCTCAGGAAGGATGGCTCCAGAGCAAACTGATTGATGCAGCAGCCAAATTGCTCGCTCACAACTTTAATGCCCGTAGCTCACAAGGTAGAATTTTTGCTCACAAGACTACATCTTAGAGGGAACATTGATTAAGACCAACCATAAGCATTTAATTTCAATTTGAACTGTTAGGAACATAGCTCATCTCAAGTTGGTTTTCGACTCTAGAAATAGTGTGCTGGGAGCTAGACTTACTGAAATAAGTCTCCCAGCCTTCCGTGTATAAGACCACCACACTGAAGCGGTCCGGGTCGTTTATTTTTAAGGCATAATCGATTGATCCTATCCTACCTTGATTCCTATTGCACTGATTTTGAATTACAATATAAACAACGTTGCGGGAATTAATTAAGTTTTAATTAATTTAAAATTGTATTAAGTTTAAAATTGTAAAATTAAAATTGTATTAAGTTTTAATTAATTTAAAATTGTATTAAATAAAGGTTTTGTTAATTTATTCTATATCCTTAATCCAAAGAGAGGGAAAGGTCTAGTGTAGTTTTTTAATTTAATATAGGAAAGAGGGGAAATTAACTCGACACAACTCATACGTTAATCTGATCTGGAATTAATTTAATGTTGATTGCATAGCCAAATAACTGTTTTATCTTACACCAGAGTACTAATTTGTCATTCTTGACATAATTGGAAGTTAAAATCGGCAAAGAGTCGCTCGCTGTTAAGAAGTTTAATAAGCATTATTTATACAGCCTTCGGCTTAACAACAAGCTATTTCTCATATACGAGAGCATACAGTGCCCTCTTGTGGCTACTTTTAGAATTGGACGGGAAGGCAGAAAATATAGCATCTAACCTTACAAAAATCTTTTGTCTTACTGCACTCCTAAACATATAAACAACTAGTTGTAAGATCTCTACAGGAGATATTTGAAGAACTGTGGGCTGGGAACACCAGGTGGGAATCCGTGCATCCAGAGCCAAAAGGTAAAACTGAGAATGTAAAAAATATACAGACTCTCTTTTAAAGACAACTACCTTTCCG